AAAAAAAAAAAAAAAAAAAAAAAGATCTAAAAGTAGGGCAAATCAATATCATGGAAATGATGGCATGGAATGGAACTTGGGTAAGAGGCCTGGTGCTCTGGCAGCCATATTGTGCCTCCTTTACTTGCTCTGCCTCCTCTTTCATTTAGCAGCACTGGAGAACCTTGGCAGTGAGCTGTATCTCTAGTCCTTTTTCCTTTTGAGACAGGATCTTCTTAAGTCACTCAGGCAGGGCTCAAACTTGCAGCCCTCCTGGCTCAGCTTCCTAGAATGCTAGGATTAGGTGCATGTGCTACCATGCCTGACCCACACTGTGCCTTCTGCGACTAAATCACTAAAGCTATTGCAACTTCTGCACTTTTCTGTCTGTCTGTCTGTCTGTCTCTCATTTGGTCTGGCAGATGCCAGCGGCTATAATGTAAGGACACTAAAGTGGCACCACGGAGAGGCCTGAATGGCGAGAAACCAGGCCTTTGCCAAAGTCATAACAGGGTTTATCCTCAGGAGAGGAGTGACTTCCGGGGCCTGACTCCAATGTCACAAAAGACCCTGAGCCACAGCCACTCAGCTAAGCAGCCCCAGCACTCACGACTTCCAGCTCCCGTGTGAAACGCTCACTGTCTGACGTCTGGGGCCATCCATCCCGCAGCCACAGACAACTGCACACCACCTGACTTCCTGAGAGACCAAAGCCTCCCTGAGACCCCTGATAACTTTGCCTATTGTACCATCGTTCGGGTCCAGGCCAACTGGATCGGTTACTTTTCCCTGGAAGTCCTCGGTCATTCCTCTGCCCCCAGCCTTGGCACACACTGTCTCCCAGCCTGGCGCTGGTTTCTCCTTCCCAAACCAAGACATCTGGGCGGATCTGGGCCAAGGCTGAAGACAGGGAGAGGGCGGTCTGAGCCAAGGTTCCGGACTGGCAAGCTCACTGCAATTAAGGGAATCACTTTCCCAAAGCCAAATCGACTTCTTCAAAGAAAAATACCTAAAAGGCCAACAACTCACACTTCACTCATGAACTTCCATGAAAGCAAAAGTGCAAATTTCCATCCTGGCCATTCACAGGCTCACAGTCTCCTGTGAGAACTCTTCCTCTTAAACACCTCTTTTTATTTTGTTTTTCTTTTTTCCAATACTGGCGATTGAACCCAGGGTCTTCCCACTGAGCTACATCCACAGCCATTTTAAAATTTTCTATATTGAGATAGGGTCTTGCTAAATCATGAAGTTTCCCAGGCTGGGTTGAAACTTGTGATCCTCCTGCCTCAGCTTTCCAGAGTACTGGGATTATGGGCATGCACTACTGTGCCCAGTTCTTAGGCCCCTCTTCTGTGTGTGACTGTAGGCCTTCAGCCTGCTCCTTTTCTCACAGTGTAAAGTCTCCCACAGGCACGTTATCTGGTGAATGGCTTCATCTCTATCCATCCACCACTCACTCACAAACCTCCAGCCTCAGAAATTGAGTCTGAGCCCTAGAGCTGTCCATCCACTGCTCTTGGGTGCCCCAGTGATTCCGACATCTGAATCTCGACCTATTGTGCGATGGCTTGGATGTGGTTTTTCCAGAGAGTTCATGAGTTGGATGGAGGCTTAGGCCTCAGGGTGGCAGTGGGAGAGGTGCTGGGATCGTTAGTTCCCAAGACAGCAAAGCTGATGCCTCCCCAAACCCTGACTTGTCTCACTCCATGATTTCTCTTTCCGTCACACAATCCTGTCAGGATGTCATTAGTTGAGGGTCTTTTGCCAGAACCAGCCATGCTGTTTGGAATTTCTGCCTCTGAAACTGTAAGCTACACAAACCTCTTTTCTTTACAAAATGCCCAACCTCAGGCATCCCATTACAGTAACAGAAAATTGACTTATTCATGCCCCAGACTGAACTCTCCATCCTATCCCCAGGCCTGCTTCTTCTGCAGAAGTCCACAGGTCTGGGTGGTCCCATCTAGTCCCCACTTTCCCTTCAGTGCAGAAACCTGGCTGAGCCCTCACTCCCCCACTCTGTGCCTCAGGCTAGACATTTCTAACTTCCTGTCACCAGATTTTCAATTCTATTGCTCTGAGGTTCCTAATCTCTATTAAGCTCATCCTGTGAGTTCTTCATTTCAGTCACTGTTTTACATTTTCCACTTGACTCTAAAAATGGATTCCAGATGCTCAAACGTATCCTTCCCTCTGTTTTATTGAATCAACTGATCATTACCATTTTAGGTTTCCTGATGAATAACTCCAATGTTGGAATCACTGTGAGTCTGTTTCTGTTGTTCAGTTTTTCTTAGTTTCTGGTCAACTGGTTTTAAAAAATTGTTCTTCAGGACGCCCGTATACGTTTTCACTAGATGCCAGACATTATAGGTGAAAAATGTAAAGGCTCTAAAGGATGTCTTCTTCCAAAGAAGGTTAGGTTTTATTCCTGGCACGAACTGCTGGGACTTTTGAGGGCTGATCTCTTTCAGTCTTGCCCTTATGGCAGGGTGAGGGCTCAGAGGAAGGTGTGGGCGGTCACCCAGGCCCCTTCAGCTCAGTTTCTCCATCTCCCTAGCGTCACAGGCCTCCTGAAAGCCCTGTTCTGCGGCCTCCCAGTGTCTATTTTCTGCTGCGTTTCTTGGAGCCTCACCATACGTACACGCAGCTTGCCAACAACTCCAGGGAAATTCGTTTGCAGATCTGGGGACCCCCTTTCCTGCAGCCCCATCTATTCCAGGATCCTATCCCTCATTTCCCAGACACTCTGGCAGCCCCCAACTCCAACCTGTCTTCTCAGTCTAGCAACTTCCTCTCCATGAGGGCCCCATTTCCCCTTCACAGCAGTGAATTGGAAAGCACACTCGGGGAAAAACAGGTTGCCTGTGAAACTCTACTTCTGTCCTTCCTTTATTTCACATACTGTAGTGCCTCCGGTGACCTTGCATAATTGTCATTCGTCCAGTTTGCAGCCATCGTGGGCAGAGGCCTCCTTTTGGTACCAGTGACTCCATCATGCAAGTCTCCTCCCCACAAGCCACCATCCCCACGGCCCAGAGCTCCTCCATTCAGGCACGTCTGTCCCTCTGCATGGCCGATGCGGCTGTTCCCAGGATGCAGTCCATATTCCACATCTCAGACTAGAAAGGACCCTGCCAGGTTCACCCTTCCTCCAGCCACGCCCTGTGCCGTACCACCTCCTCCACTGGCTGGTCCCCAGGCTGCTCCCACTGATGCCTCAGGTCTAGCTTCCTCCAGGAGCCCTTCCCTGATCTGAGTCAGGCATCCCCGATGGGGTCCACGGCCCTGACTGCCCTCACCCCATCCCCAACCCTCTGCCTGCACCTCCCCATTCCATCCCCTACTAAGCTGCTGTGTCACTGCCTGTCTGGTGGTGGGTCTGTCGCCTCCTCCCCAAGGCACACACTGGACTGCAAAGTCCCACGGAGGCGGGGCCCAAGACTGTGTCCAACAGCAGGTCCGCACAGGATGCGGCTTAATCACCCGCTGCAAGTTGCCACAGCAGGGTAAACATGGCAGGAGAAATGAGGATAAAAACTAGTTATGGTAGCACAGGCCTGAAATTTCAGCACACTGGGAGACCGAGGTAGCAAGGCTGCAGGTTTGAGCTCAGCCTGGGCAATTTAGCAACTTAGTACGATCCTGTTCCAAAACCAAAACAGAAACAAAATGAAAAAGGGCTGCTGCTGCAGCTCAGTGAAAGACCCTTGGCTCAGTGTGCATGAGAGAGAAATTGAGAGAGAGAGAGGGAGAGAGCGAGAGAGAGGAAGAAACCAAGTCTCGCTGCTGGTGTCCCTGTGACCCATCAGAGAGCAGCATGGCTCCAGGCCCAGCAAGGAACATGCTGGGCTTTGTCCCAGCACTCCACTACCTTGACTGTCCTTTCTGATTAGATGCATGTCTACCAGAGAGAGGAAGCCAGTGTCCTCTCTTGTCGCTACCTTCAAAATGAACACCAGGGTGAGCCCTGCCACCCCATGAAAGTCTATGCTTAGGACGGGTGAAAATGAGGCCGAGTCAGAATGGAGGAAGAAGGAAAACACAGTGCAAACGCAGGTGCTGTGCTTGCGGATGTCACTGTGACCGCAGTGGTCTGAATCAGTTTCCTTCCTCACCAGGCCAGACAGAGAGGATCTCTGCTGGTGCGCAGCACGGGTTCCTTCCTTCCCCATTCTTTCCTCTTCCCTGGGAAGTGGCTGAGAAGGAGCAGGTAGGTTTCTTGTTTTTTTTTTTTTTTTTTTTTTTTTTTTTTTTTTTTTCCAATTGACCAGAGCCTAAAGGGATTAGGGAAGTTTCTTGGCTGTTCAAGTCAGAGATCTTCCAGACCAGGGAATCGTCCCAGCCTGTTCTCCTCTCCTCCTTTATTCTTTCATTTTTAAATTTTGAGGTGGGTTTTTCTATGTGGCTCAGGCTAATCTGGAGCCCCAAACTGACGTGATCCCTGCTGCCCAGACTTCCCAGTACTGGGCCTACAGGTGTTTCCCACCATGCCCCGGTTCCTCTCCTCTTCATTTTCCTTAAGAACTGGGAGTCCCTGCTTTCATCTTGGCCCCTCAGCATCCATTGCTCAGACCGTCCTCAGTCCCCGGGGAAAAAATTAGACGAAAAAAACATCAGCAAGACAGCTCACCTCCCTCTCAAGCATGTGTGCAAGACGGTTAAGGGATGTTGTATCTTATACACAGCAACCACCCACACCATCGTGTAGGGCGGGAACGGGTTTACCTTTGGGAGGGGGCGTGGGTACAGCTTGGGAAGAGGACAGTGTTGATTTGAGGATGCGAGCAGAACTGTTTGGAATGCAGAAGGGATTCATTCGGCATTGGTATGGGGTAAGGCACGGAGGGAGTGGTGCTGGGTCCTGTAGGGTGGTTGGATAAGATCGCTCTAACACAGAAATGAGGCTGTGTTGAGAAGAGACTGGGGTGGGAATGGCGAACTGCACGACTCACCAGGTCTGGGCCGGTTGCACATGTTGGACCCGCACACAGTCTCTGTCAGGCTGATGATCTGCGGTCCCACCCGATAGCTCATCGTCCTGTTGGTCTTCTCCGCGTGAGCACAGCCTCTCTCCACCACCTCCAGCTCATCTTCTCTTGTGAACAATGTATCCTTAGTCTCCCCAGTGGCTTCCTGGGCCCAGCCCACTTCCAATTCCCCAGGCTCAGGGGCCGCCCACTCCCAGGACAGATTCTTGCCAGCTCTCTTGCTTGGGTCCGACTCCGTCTTTTCTAGAGTTATTCCGCCGCCATCCAACTCCCCACCAGCTCATGCAGTGGAGCGGGCCTGCTCTCTCAGTGACCCTAAGACTTGCTCGATCCTCTACCCCTTGTTTCCTCCTCTCCCTCAGCATGGTGATCTCAGAAGGGAGATGCAGATAAGAATTTAAAATCCCTAGGACCTCATACTTCTAAGCAAATGCTCTACTGCTGAACTACACCCCCAGCCCTCTCATAGGAACTTTTACAGGGAAATGCTTTAAGCTTACTGAAAAGAACAGGGGAATAATATAATAAACATTATGTATTTGTCATCCAACTTGGTAAAACATTAGCGTTTCACTATATTTGTTTTAGGTACTTTTTGTTTGTTTGTTTGTTTGTACCGGGGATCGAACCTGGGACCTTGTGCTTGTGAGGCAGGCAGTGGAACCACTGAGCTATATCCCCCTCCCTGTTTTAAGTACTTTTTAAAGGAAATGGAATTTTTAAAATACTCTGTTTACCCCTGCCAAATCCTATTCCCCTCATGCTTGATCCAGAAGCAACCAGTGGTAAGAAATTTTTACCCGATGTATGCATAATGATATATGTTATTGTTTTTCATATTTGAAAGCTTATGTAAGAAGGTATACTATGCAACATGTTTCTTCCTCACAGTCTTACATGTTTTGGTTTTTTGGGCAGTACTAGGGATTGAATTCCGGGGCACTCTAACACTAATCTACATCCCCACACCTTTTTATTTTTTATTTAGGAGACATGGCATTGCTAAGTGGCCCGGACTGGTTTCCAACTTATAGAGCCTTCTGTTTCAGCCTCCCTAATTGCTGGGACTACAGGCACATCCTACATTTCTTTTTTTTTTTCCTCCCTTGGTACTCGGGATCAAACTCAGGACCCTGTGCTTGTGAGGCAGGTGCAGTACCACTGAGCTAAATCCCCAGCTCCCCACATTTTTCACGATGTACCCACAAGGAAATGGTTCCTTCCCTTAAACTCTGCAGCGTTCCACCAGTGATCACACTGCACGGTCCTCTGCTGCTGGGATTGTTTCTAATTTACCCTATCACAAACAGTACTGCTAAGAACATCCTTACCCATGTGCCTGGGAGTTATGTGGCCAAGGCTCTCCAGAGTTTCTACATCGTAGGACTTGAACTACTCACTGCAGGGTATGCTAATCTTCTTCTGCACTAGATATTGTCCAGTCGCTCTGGGTGGCCCATTCCCTAATTCACTTAGCTCAGTGGTGCCGTGCCTGCCTCGACATCGAAAGGCCAAGTTCGATACCCAGTACTGGGGGAGGGGGGGTCAGCTCCCCTTCTTAGGGTGTGTGGTTCCACATTTTTTTCTTTCTTCTTCTTCTTTTGGTAGCAGGGATCAAACTCAGGAGGTTCCACATCTTTATCAATCTGTGTATTGTCGATATTTTATTTTTGGTGTTGAGAATGGATGCCAAGGTACAAACTAAGCGAGCCCTACCTGTGAGTTACAGCCCCAGATACTACTGTTAAAAGTTTAAATCCTTGCCAATCCCGTAGATATGGAATGAGGTCTCCTTCGTTTTTCTTAGTTTGTGCTTCCCTAATTTCTTGGTCACTCGCGCTGGAGTCGTCAGGGCGGAGAGAGAACTCACCTTCCCACACATGCATGACCGTGATCCTGCAGAGGTCCTGGCCTGGTGCACACTCCTCCACCTGGCAGGGCCCGCTACTCTTACACTGGAAGCAGAGCAGAGCCCAATAGGCTGGAGGAGGAAGGAAGGGGAGAGTCGCGGTTGGCCACATGCGCCAGGATCTGCTCTGTCCCCCTCCCATCCCCACACCAGGACTGGCACAGGGCCGGGTTCACTCCCACCCCTCAGCTCCAACTATGGGTTCCAGCTTGGGGTTCTTCTGTCCCTGTCCCACATTCTCAAAAGTCCTAGTCTTCGCCCTCCAGGCCTCGCCTAAAAATTGCCCCGCCCCTAGGCCCACCCGAAATTCTAGCCCCGCCCCAGCTTCCTAGCTAGAGTCCCAGTCGAGTCCTGCAGGCGGTTCCCTAGGATCCAGTACCTCCCTCTGGCTCCTCCCCCACGTCCTATCCCCGCCCA